ACGTCTATATTATTTTGAACTGGTGTACTTGGTGACGGCTTTGGTACCTTCGCTGACTGCGTGCTTGGCCAATTCTCCCGGTAGCAATAGTCGTACGGCTGTCTGAATTTCTCTGCTAGTTATCGTGGCACGTTTGTTGTAATGTGCCAATCTGGAAGCTTCCGCAGCGATACGTTCGAAAATATCGTTGACGAAGCTGTTCATGATGCTCATCGCTTTGCTGGATATACCCGTATCGGGATGTACCTGCTTCAGTACTTTGTAGATGTAAATTGCGTAACTTTCCTTCCTCCTGCGCTTCTTTTTCTTGTCAGATTTTGAGATATTCTTCTGCGCCTTGCCCGCTTTTTTGGCAGCCTTACCGCTAGTTTTGGGTGGCATTTTATTGTGAGATGATGCTGAGTATAATCGACACCAACGCTCGACTAACGGAACGACTGCAATTCTCTGGCCGTATTTAAGACAGGTGACGTTACGACCGTAGACTCCGCCCCCAGGCGTTTGCCGGCAAACGTTCGCGTCGATTGGTCGGTTAGTTCATATAAATACAACGTTCGCGGAGATCATGTTGTGCATTTGCAAGTTCATAGTCGACGTCGTTCGTTTAGCAGATTAACAAATTGAATATGTCAGGACGCGGAAAAGGCGGTAAAGTTAAGGGAAAGGCAAAGTCCCGATCCAGCAGGGCCGGCCTACAATTTCCCGTCGGTCGTATCCACAGGTTATTGCGAAAAGGGAATTATGCTGAACGCGTCGGTGCCGGAGCTCCCGTATATCTAGCGGCCGTTATGGAATACTTGGCCGCTGAAGTTTTGGAATTGGCAGGCAACGCTGCTCGCGACAATAAAAAGACCCGTATTATTCCACGTCATCTGCAATTGGCCATCAGAAACGACGAAGAATTGAACAAATTGCTTTCAGGCGTCACAATTGCCCAAGGAGGAGTTCTCCCTAATATCCAAGCTGTTCTTTTGCCGAAAAAGACGGAGAAGAAAGCCTAAAAAAAAAAATCTTCTGAACATACAATCGGCCCTTCTCAGGGCCAACAAGTAATTTAATAAGAAAATGAAGGGATTATCATTTGTATATGGAAAAATTTTCTCAGGGTGATATCGGATCGGTTGTGGCGCGAGAAGTTGGCAATAACTAAATTATTTAATCGAGGCATCTCATCGTCGCATTCACGTCTAATATCGCCGGTATCTCGATAATGGGACATATCGGGACCGAAATCGTCGATTATTGTAATTCAAAGAGCCAAAACGTATAAGTCGATCAATTTCTCATATTTCCCGATAAACTCATTTATGTGAGTGTTCTTTTATTTTGTTAAAAAAAAATAGAAAATTAATGTGCGGTTCAAATCGGCAGATCCATTCTTTCTCACGAGAGTATATGGTGGTTCTGAAAAGAACCGTTTTTTTTTTCTTTGTATTGTATTTTCGTTCAACCTGTACCGTGGTAATTGCTGCGGAGTGGTTAACCACCGAATCCGTACAAAGTGCGTCTTGTCTCTTTAAGCATATACGACGTCCATTGCAGTGACTGTCTTCCTTTTAGCGTGCTCGGTGTAAGTGACTGCATCCCTGATTACGTTCTCTAAAAGACTTTGACACTCCCGCGAGTTTCTTCGTAATCAATCCGGATATACGTTTTACTCCTCCACGTCGCGCCAATCTTCTTATGGCCGGTTCGTAATTCCCTGGATGTTATCCCTCAAAACTTTACGATGCCTTTTCGCTCCTCCTTTTCCCAATCCTTTACCACCTTTACCGCGTCCAGGTCATTTTTCAAGATTCTCTCGCACGTCGAACTGTTAAAGCGAACGGGCTGTTGCCAACTGACGGTACGTCTCTCGTGACGCCCGGTTTTGTTAGCGTTGTCGTCCCCTCCTATTGGTCTATCAATTGGCCAATCAGACTGTTTCGTATTTCGAAGCCCATATAAATATAACTGTTCGCGGTGTTTACCTCCGCTCACTATAATATTGGTCCGTTGCAATATTCACGTCGCTGCTATATAGATAATTTATATTCAGTTATCTGAAATTTAACGTAATGGCGCGTACCAAGCAGACGGCTCGTAAATCCACCACCGGAGGTAAAGCTCCCAGGAAGCAATTAGCCACGAAGCTGCCCGTAAAAGTGCTCCTGCTACTGGCGGAGTTAAGAACCTCACCGTTATCGTCCGGGAACTGTGGCTCTCAGAGAATTCGTCGTTATCAGAAAAGTACCGAATTGTTGATCAGAAAATTGCCTTTCCAACGGCTGGTCCGTGAAATAGCGCAAGATTTCAAGACCGATTTGCGATTCCAAAGTTCTGCTGTAATGGCACTCCAAGAAGCTAGCGAAGCGTACCTGGTCGGACTATTCGAGGATACGAACTTGTGCGCGATCCACGCTAAGCGAGTAACGATCATGCCGAAAGATATACAGCTGGCAAGACGTATTAGGGGCGAACGTGCCTAATGGAATTGACGGATTTACTATTTGCCGGAAAGAGAGAGAGAGAGAGAGAGAGAAGAGTACGGCGTGCGATAATAGGTTATAAAAAAAAAAACGGTTCTTTTCAGAACCATCATATAGTATGTTCAGAAAAAGGGATCGTGTATTATGTTAAGTATATCAGATTGTTGTTTGTACGCGTGCAATTTCGACACTATTATCGTGTATGCAAAATAGCGCTAAATGGTTATACGATAGTCGCTAGTTATTACCCGTTATCCTATATCGAAGGATTGTGGTGCTTTGTAGTAAACCGTTACATTGATATTATTCTAATAACGTACGAATTGTATGTATGTGTATGGAAGTAAAATAACTTATAAGTAGCATGTGATTATAATGTAGATAATTCGACATAATATAGATATTTTGCCGTATATATTGCTTAGGCGTTTAGGCAGGCTGTTAGCGTGTAATACGTAACATTAGGTACTTTCACGTAGATCAAAAGTCAGTAATGCGTACGTCTAATAATTAATATGTAGTAAGAGATGAATTTATAACTCGATCGCTCGTATATTATATATAATATTTTTCTACTCTGGCTTATTTATTACGAATAATAGATTGATGTCTCATATTATTATCTATTTTGTCATATTACAGGAGTAATGTTAAAATTATCGCGATATATTCGCGACTGTGCACGTTCGGATGTACGCCAGACATACCTCCGTATAATTGCGATTATCTAAAATACCTTATCCATTAGCCGTATACCGACAGTATAATTGTATTACGAATAGTCGTAGATTGTTAATTTCATGAAATATCTAATTATATAACGTATTCGTATAATATAAATTAGATCAAAAAGCCGGACGATTAGGTCCAAAGCGGATACCTTGCACGTTTCACCTTATAATTTTATCGTGTACGTAGCGTACGTGATCAAGTCGCGAAGTTAAATGTGTATTTCAAATTATGCAGATTTCATATTCGTTCAGGTTTTAGCTGTTGCTCGTATGCAATTATATCAGCGACTCAAAAACCAACAGATACGACCGCAGGCTTGGCAGAATTGAAGCCGTCGAAATCGGTTTCGCTGCAAAGTCGGAGCGTTCAATGTTCGGTCCGACCGAAATGACTTGGGTCACGACGCTGAATTTACCTCTCACATTCATTCGACATTCGTTCTCTTAGCGAGATCGTCGATCAGTGATTGCAAAAGATCGCGCGTATACAATAATCTGTCTCCTCTTCACGACTCGTAAACATGGCAGATACGGAAAACCAGAATTACGCCGCGTCGGCTACGGCTACCGCGAATTCTGCGTCGCCGACGTCGCAGTCGTCTGCGAAAAAGGAGAAAAAACCGAAGAAATCCGAGGGCGAAGCCGTCTCATCCTCCTACTAGCGAAATGGTCATCAACGCAATTAAAGGATTAAAAGAGCGTGGCGGGTCGTCTCTGCAAGCTATCAAGAAATACATAGCCGCTAATTACAAAGTAGACGCTGAGAAAGTTGCGCCTTTCATCAAGAGGTACTTAAAATCGTCCGTCGCGTCTGGAGCTTTAGTACAGACGAAAGGCAAAGGAGCTTCCGGATCGTTCAAGCTAGCTTCGTCATCGGCTGGCGGAGCGTCGAAAACTTCATCATCGTCAGCCGCAAAGGTTGGCGAAAAGAAGAAGAAATCCGCGACCGGCTCAAAGAAGAGCGGAACCGTAGCTAAGAGAGCTAGCGGTGCGAAATCTGCGAAGAAGGCATCTCCGAAGGCTAAGAAACCGGCGGTGGCCGGTGGTGCGGCCGAGAAGAAAGCTTCTCCAGCTAAGACAAAGAAAAGTGGGAAATCGGCGACGTCGGCTAAAGCTTCTTCTGCTGCACCTTCTGCAGCGGCTGCAAAAAAATCTCCTTCGAAGGCGAAGAAATCCAGCAAGGGAGCTCCGACCAAGAAGCCAAAAGCACCAAAACCGAAAACGGCGAAGGCTGCAACATCGCCAAAAAGGAAGGCCGCTTCACCCAAAAAGAAGAAATAAAAAAAAAAATTTAGACGTGTTGCAACGTCGTAGATTACGGCTACGTCGGTTCGAGACGTTATATTTATGCGAGAGGATGCTATACGTCCCCGCGGATTGAAAATGGCCCTTTTCAGGGCCACCACTATTACTATAAAAAGGATACAGAATATTTACGAATTAGCAATTTTGTATCGAAATATACATGTACAACTGCGGCTCGTACGTGCGTTGATGTTTTTTTTTTTTTTTTTTTTATTAAATTCGAGTATTATTCGTTTACGATTAGGTATTTATAAGCAAGTGGTAATGTTAGGCGTCGTCACCATCGATATTTGCTTTTAAGGGTATAAATAAGTATGTATTGTGTTTAATTAAACGAATGAACGTTAAACAGTCGATTGCGTCGTAAGGATATCCCCTTTTTTTACGCTTTCGTTTACCATTAAATAATCCGGTCGGGTCTTATATCAGACGTTATTGCTTTAGTGGTGTATGTATATCACGAATAATCATCTGGTATTCAAGTACCAATAATATATATGTTGCGCGTACGGTGATATCATTATCTTTACTTGATAACTTTAGTGGTTCTGAAAAGAACCGTTTTTATGTTGTAAGTTGTTGTTGATGTTGTTGTTGTCGTCGTAGTTACATATTACTTCGAACTGGTGTACTTGGTTACGGCTTTGGTACCTTCGCTGACGGCGTGCTTGGCCAATTCTCCTGGTAGCAATAGTCGAACGGCTGTTTGAATTTCTCTGCTAGTTATCGTGGCACGTTTGTTGTAATGTGCCAATCGGGATGCTTCCGCTGCGATACGTTCGAAAATATCGTTGACGAAGCTGTTCATGATGCTCATCGCTTTGCTGGAAATACCGGTATCTGGATGTACCTGCTTCAGCACTTTGTAGATGTAAATTGCGTAGCTTTCCTTCCTCCTGCGTTTCTTTTTCTTATCAGACTTGGAAATATTTTTTTGAGCCTTACCGGCCTTTTTAGCTGCTTTACCGCTAGTTTTGGGTGGCATCGCGTTTCGATTTACACAAAAAGTACGATCTTTACTGACACAATATCGTGATCTATAATGGAAAGGTGTGCGGATAAACGGCGAGCTTTAACAGCCACGACGTTACCGACATAGACTCCGCCCCTTACGGGTGACCGACAAACGAAAACGGTGATTGGTCGGAGTAGTTATATAAATATACTCGTACCTAAAGACATTGCCCAGCGCAGGACCCCCAAGAAAAGAGGCCGTCCATAAAGTCGAGAACCGACAGTTGGAAGAAACGTCCACCACGCGCTTCCGCGACGCGTGCGCGATCGAGTCAAATTTCGGGAAAAAGGGGCAAAATTGGGGAAGGGGGGATAGCTCGTTCGGCAGCACACACTCGGGGAATGCGCAAGCGGCCTGAACCACGCAGCGCCACTCCAGGCCTTTGGGCGGGAGTGGGGGGAGGAGCAGATTGCTCTTCCCCCCACTCCTCAAGGGTTTGAGGTTGCCTGGAACAGGGGTGGTGGAGGGACCGCACAGGGTAGGAGGGTGTGTGTACATTGCCATTCTATTCTATTAATTCGGTCAACGACAGCAGATTGTAGTCGTCGATTCGCAAGTCAAAAAAGAAAATAATAAACAAATAAACATGTCCGGACGAGGAAAAGGCGGAAAAGTGAAAGGAAAGGCAAAATCCAGGTCTAGTAGGGCCGGTTTGCAATTCCCTGTAGGTCGTATACACAGATTATTGCGTAAAGGAAACTATGCCGAACGCGTCGGTGCCGGAGCTCCTGTGTACCTTGCCGCCGTTATGGAGTACTTGGCAGCCGAAGTGTTAGAGTTGGCCGGCAACGCTGCTCGCGACAATAAAAAAACCAGGATCATTCCACGTCATCTGCAGTTAGCAATCAGGAATGATGAAGAATTAAACAAGTTACTTTCCGGCGTAACTATCGCCCAAGGCGGAGTTCTTCCGAATATTCAGGCTGTCCTATTGCCGAAAAAGACAGAGAAGAAAGCCTAAATAATAATAATAATAAGAAAATAACGTCAAAACTAGAAATCGGCCCTTCTCAGGGCCACACAATTCGTTTGTTGAAGAAAAAATAGAGATCATCGGATCAGGAAACAAAAAAAAAAATCACGTAATATTTTGCCGATATTCCTTCATGCTGTTTGGGATTCAAGTAACAACAGCCCAATAACCGCATGATACAGTGTGATGTTACGTTTCTACGATACGGATCGTGACATGGAAAATGCAACAAATAATACCAATTCTTACTTACCGTAACATTTTATGTTTACCTAGCATCGATGGGTTGTGGAGCTCGACTATATGGAGATACCTTGGAGGGATAGTTACTTTCTAGAGGTACTGTCGGAATGATAGAACTTTATTCCAACGCAATTTTACATACAATGCCGCTAGTGTCTATAACGACAATCACGTTAACTCTCCCTCTCCCCCCCCCCCCCTCTCTCTCTGTCTCACACATTACTCTTCCCCCCACTCCTCAAGGGTATGAGGTTGCCTGGAACAGGGGTGGTGGAGGGACCGCACAGGGTAGGAGGGTGTGTGGTGTGTGTGCGCGCAACATCAGTTCCGAGCTAGCAGCCGTTGCGAGTGTATACTTGCACGACTGCGACACACCCGGACATATTGAGCAATCTTATTGCGATAGATTGGTTGTTTGTCATTTACGATGGCGAAAATTGAGAAGCTGGCTAACCAGCTGAAAGAGAAGAAAGATGCTGTCGCCATGCTGGCAGAGCAGATGCGAAACCTGCAAGAAGCCTTCTTGCAAGCACAACAGGAGATCGAGGACCTGAACGGGAAGCTCCGCAGGGCCACGAAGAAGGCCGCAAAGAAGACCGAAGAAGGCGAGGCAGAGGACCACCAGGCTACGTCGGACGAGATGGACGCTCAAGAAGAGGACACCCAACGGACCGAAGAGGATAGGACCACGACAGAGACAGCAAGCAACGACGACACCGATTTCA